TCGTACCCCCCCCCCCCTCGCCGTCCGTGTAATGGAAAAGGCCCTCGCCTGGCGAGGGTTAAGATGACCAAGATATAGCCTGAAATATACTTAATTTCATTAGTACAAAACCTGCCGCTAAAACCCGCGAGACCTGTACATTAGAAATGTCTATGTGGAAGTTCTCCATAAGTCAATTGATGAATGGACACCGCAGCAATGCCTGTATTATCTCCGAGACCTAACTATAATGTAATTGGTGACACCGTCTGAGCACTGTGACGCTCCCGCGTCATTACTTACACGCTATTTGTCGCAAGTCATTTATCGCACGTCATTTGTTTGCGTCATTTGTTGTGCATGCCATCTGGCGGTGTCATTTATCGATTTATCGAGCGTCGCATGGGTCATTCATCTCGGCTCATTGGTATATGCGGCGTCATACGTGCATTTCTATTGTCGTCGTACCTTATTATCGGACCGATCTGTAACGAAATATAGACGATCTGTGACGCTTTGGATATCTCCCAGGTTAGCTATACCTATAGGTACTCCTAGTACCTACCTTGGCAGTCCATGTTAGCTGTTTCTATTGAAAGTTTGATGTCCATAACATCAATGATCAGACTTGTCTTGAATCAGAAAAAAGCCACGTAGATTTACTGAAAATGTGTCACCTGTCGGGTATGCTATATTTAAAAAGAGCAAATAATAGCTACCAGTATCTTTTAGTGTCAATAGTGGGTAAATGATAGCCACGATACCAGGATGCGAACACACCGCCAACAGATAGCAGAGAATCAGCGACTCTTCCCACGTGTAATATCGCTCCTCTCGTCCAGCTCTTTCCCTCTCTCTCTCCCTCTCTCTCTCTCTCTCTCTCTCAATCTCTCTCTCTCTCTCTCGCTCTCTCTCTCTTTCTCGCTCTCTCTTTTTCTCTCTCTCTCTCTCTCTCGCTCTCTCTCTCTCTCTCTCTCTCTCTCTCTCTCTCTCTCTCTCTCTCTCTCTCTCTCTCTCTCTCTCTCTCTCTCTCTCTCTCTCACACACACTCTCTCTCTCTATCCATCTATATCCATCTATCTATCCCCCTCTCTCTCACTCTCCCTCCAGATCACTAGAACCATGAGACTCGGGAGGTGGCTGCGGCCGTCAGAACGACCCATTCTACTTTAATCGGGCGAGTGAATTTCCCACTTGCCGGGCTCGGTGAACTGTCGGAAACGGCTGAGGACCTCTGACTGAGACGCCGTGGCTGTACCCGTAGGTCCACAGGCTGCCGGTAGGTTTGTGTCAAATCCAAAGGTCCACAGGCTGGTGGATAGATTAAAATCTGAGCTAGAGGTGGCAAAAGATGAAAATTTTGGGAACCAGACTCGAACCAGACCCGGCTGGACATTTCTGGAACCAGTCAGACCCGGTCTTAGTTGGAATCGGAACCAGTTGGACCCATTCCCCAAAAGTCAATTAATACTAACTACTTGTAAGTATCATTAGCTGCATCATGTAAAACAGCTTATTGCCCACTGGGGATATTCATGAGCTACTGTTTGCAAAGAAACATTCACTTCATTCACTTCATATTTTGCAATAATGTGTAGTGTGCAAGATGTATAGTTTATGGTAGGACCCGGTTGGACCCGTCAGAAAATTTCCAGGAACCGGTCTGGACCCATATGGGTCCAGACTGGTTCTTTGGACCGGGTCCTCGGGTCCACATTTTGCCACCTCTAATCTGAGCCATGGAGACACAGATGCAAAGGCTGACCGGATTTGCTATATAAATTCATGGGGATGTGTTGTCGTAGATTCATTATATATTTGTTTTATTTTTAAATCATTCTGTCAACAGACAACAACACACCAGCCGTCGCAAATTGCGGTGCTTGATAAAACACTGTCACTGTGAAGGAAGGATTCAGAGGTGATAGATCACGCGCTGTGTATCAAGAGTCACATCTGAAGTCTGACTGAAACCCGCCTGAGCAACGCCAGATTGACTGATAAGACAGGTCGTCTACCGTGTCCCTGAATGGAGGTCGCCGCCCGTTAAGGGTACACTCTACTACACCCTGTCTGTCGTCACTCGTCACATCTCAGTCCTCAGTCTACACGGACAGCACGCCGACCTCTGAGGGTCACGCTGACCATAGCACACCTACCGAACCGTAAGGTGACGGTGGCAGTGCTCTCCTGGCCGTCCCCGCCATCAGCCAAACTGATGGCATCTGTCTGAGGAACCGATCTCAAGGCATTATATAATTTACTACCCATACCTAGTCAGTGGATTAGGTATACCCGGTAGTGGATGTCAATTTGTAATGAACAATAGGTATCAATACCTAAATAACCGCACATCTGTTTCTCAGAAAAATCATCATCACAATTTCCCTCGCTTCGTCCAAATAATTGTTTCATGTAAGCTATAGCGTCCCTTCGAGCAGCAGCTGAGTGGTGTATTACCCCTTCGCCGAGCGGTGACGCAGCAGAGGCAACTTCGGCGCAGCAGTCGGGGCAGGTGGCAAATGGCATCCGGAGCGCGGCAAACTTTGCCGCATGGTGCACCAGTTGGTGCCAGGACGTAATTGAGAAACACGTCCGTGGCGGTCGGCCTATCTTCAATACCTTCTCGGCTCAGTGCCGCAGGACTTCAGTTGAGTAGTCCGGCAAATAGTTAACCAACTTTCCCGTGAACATTGAACAGATCACCTGCGCAGCAGAGGGTTGGTCTGGAAATTTGATGTAACGAGCAGTTGCAGAGTGAAAACTTACATTCCTTTCCACCAACAGTTCCGGCACCTTGGTTCCGGTATGCTGTTTTGAGGTTAAACTGCCGAGCAATTAACCATTAACTTTAAAAGAGTAAGCGGCGGCCACTGCGGGCCAATGGGCTGAGACGGTTTGTAAAGACCCGTTGTCTTTACCCGTAATAAATAAAGGAAGTTTATCCACCTTATCCACATTGTAAGTACCAGCCACCAGGGGAGAGACGCTTTGACACACACAGGTTTGCAGAAGAAACCCAGATAGCGCCGAATTGCTTATAAGATCACATCAAGGCTCATCACAATACGCTCCACCGATCACAGAAGCATCCCAGCATTCCACTGATCCCCGGCTCGGCCACAGACACGAGTTATCATTACGAACTTTTCCCAAGCGTCAATAAAACATCTTCTAAATACTTTAACTACTGAACTTACAGATCCGAAATCACTCTGTAAGGCGCGCGTGCCATCTCCTCTGGGAAATGGAGCCGGTCCATTTGGGACCGTCCGGGTCCCCTCCCGGAGACCGGAGTGGGACCATCAGCTCCGGGTCCTCCCGGAGCGGCCCATCAGCTGCCGGTCCGGGAGGCGCGCCGCCGCCCGGACACGACCTGAGCCGAGCCGTAGCACGTCTAATTGTGCAGATGGACAGCGCACTCATGGTTCTATTTCTGAGCGGCTCCTCTCTGAGTTCTGCCGCTCCTGCAGTGGTGGAACTCTGCAAAAATGACACCGACGCCGCCTCCGAGCGCAGTGTCGGCGATACGGATCGGCCCACTGCGAGCCGCGCTTCGGCTAACTCCCGCCGCCACTGCGGGTCGACATTTGAGCAGATGTATATGGAACTGTAGGAAGGAGATGTGGTACAGAGACCGACACCAATTTGACATATCACTACTCACTGGACAAACGTCATGTAGCTACCGCACCCCCGAGAAGAAAACGTGAAGAATTGTTTAAAAGTGGCGAGCGTTTTAAACTAGGTATCGAAAAACGCTTTCGATGCAAATTCTAGCGGCTGTTGAGCAGTCCAGCTCAACTGTCCACCAGGGTCCAGGCAGTCACATTTAGCAGCTGATCGACTAACGTCTGCTGCATATAGCCCGTCCTGCGCCCCTGAATGGCCAATGACCAACGGCCGTTACCTACAGCTCAATTATCTCCGAACTGCCCCCAGTCACGTGCCCCAAGCTGGAGACCATGCCCCAGGTCACGTGCTGGGGGGTCACGTCGGTCACGTGCTGGGGGTCACGCGGGTCACGTACGGCCTAAACCAGTCCAATGTCGGTTGGTAATGGCAGCCGGTGCCGTTATCGTATAATTGGGCGGCCCCTGAGCGGCAGGCAGCAGCAGCGCCGCGGTGTGACGGTACCGGTCCGGATTTACTTTGGGTGATTGGAGTAGGATGTTGCTGCTGCTTGAACGGATGTCGCGGTTTGAGCTTGCGCCCCAGAAACAATCATAAGCCGCCCCCGTATCCTCTACCGATTTCAAGTCATTTGTAACAATAACTTCTTCGTATTTGTCATGACATTGCACTTGTTTTCACCTGGCTAGTCTGTATTCCGGTATGGCCAATCGGGACAACATCCATGAGAGCATGTTATGAGGATGACATGCTTCCTCAGTTCGTGCAAAGGATAAGCGCCTGTCCTCCACCACAGAAAAAGAGAGCAGCGAAGGTGCAGACTGCAGCGGCCAGTGCATATAGCTCAACCTATATGCAGTCTCGTTACACTTCATACTTTTCCAGCATAGCTGACGTTTTGGTGTTTCACACCTCTGCTCCATGTCTGCATGTGAATCTTCATATTCGGCTTTATATTCCGGGTACATAAGTCAAAGTCTAGAAATAAGTCCCCGATAGGTAGGTACGTGATCTCCTCCACGTTTCCTCGCCAATCGGGGAGATGATAAGAAGCAGCACCTGAGGAAATGTGGGTGCCCGGTGCGGAATACCGGATACGGATTATATGTACTCCTTCAGCAGCAGCGGTCATTACCATTTTTGTTTTGTATTGTAGGAGAGAGACACTTCAAAAAAGTGGCAGCTCTAGCAGTGAATAATTTAGAGGTGAGCCAGAATAACAAAAGAAGTGAAAACAGAAAACATTACGGGTCTAAAAACAGCTAAAAAAATAATCAGAATTAACAGGATTTGTAGCTTTGTCTTTTTCATTCACACAACAGCACAAAATAATAATAATAATCCATTTCCATCTCTACATGGCCATGAGCCAATCACAAGCGTTCTTTCAGTGACGTCACATGACCTTGATGAAAATTGACAGGATTTTACTGCAGCGATGGCGTCCGGACTCTGATAGATATTCGAAAGAACAAAGAGATTTTTATTAATATCAAGCTGACTGGTAAATGTGACATTATTTTATATTCCACTCTCCTATTCGCAGCATCAAGTGGAGGAAAGCACTGGTTCTTTGAAAAGGTAAGTCTATTTGTCGGGTTTTATTTTAGCCGCACAAATGTCGGGTAAAATATGTTGAACGTTTATTTGGCGATTCCCAAATTCAGCATTTTACGCAAAACACTGGAAAGTACGTGCGTCACTGTTGATCAGTATTGTACAGCAGATAGAAATATGTAAAGAAGCATGTCATGCAACCTTATCCCACTCTTAATAATGACCGTATCATTAAAATAAAGAATTTGCAGGCAATTAATTTTGCACTGTAGTTTGTAAACACAGCTGATCCTGCACCGGGCGCCACGTGATTGTGCACGATGAAATTTCTGGTGAAAGAATGGACCGGGGGTTGAATGAAGTGTCTACATCAGCTTAAAAGAATGGAATGTGTTCTATATAAATTGCATGTGAGTCTCTGCTTAAGCTTGAACTGAAACTAGGCTTATTTGCAGGCCTTGTCACAGAAAATCCCATCAAACACGAACAATTTTACACAAGTTTTGCCATTCCATTGTAAACCTGGTTATTTATTTTCAGTTGATTGCATTGTTTTTCAGTTTGACTTGTTTGTCATGTGTTTTTGTCCTGCACTTGCTAATAATACTCGTATGAATTTCCCTGCAGCCTGAACTGTCTCCATAGCACCCAGCCATGGACCTGGGTGGGAGCGGAATGGATCTGCAGGAGACGCAGTCGGTGGTCGGCCTGCACGTGGATGCAGATGACCTGACCATGGACGAGCAACAGGCCGGAGTGGAGCTTGTGGCGGGAGGCCAGCAGCAAGACTGGTGCCATGTCTCGCAGGCACCTGTGCAGGTATACTGGAATTGTACCTGATAGAGGTGAAATTGTCCTTTTGCACCCTATGCTCAAAATTGCATAAAATCCATACTGTTTTGTCACAAACCTTATACCAGCCTAGAATGGAATGGATGGATTCTGCTGTCATAGGATCATTTAGGCAACCTTGATGCCCCTAATGTCCACAGCTCAGGCTCAGTTTCAGCTTTCCCCTGACCACACCTTTGTTTCCCTCTCCACAGGTGGTGAGGATTCTGGGTGCCAATGGTGAAGAGCTGCAGATGCTCTCCACTGACTACCACAACATGGATGGCCACCCAGTCACCATTGTCCCTGATGACACAGGTAGGGATTGGCATAAATATTCACCTAACTGCAGATAATTTCTGTCTTCTTTGGCTACCTAGCTTTTGGTTTGGTGCTGATTATAGTCACATCAGCCTGTCATGATTGGTTTTCAGTTACATAGTGATTTGAATCAGAGACTTATCAGCTGGCATTATCTGCCAGTCTGCAAGCTCCAACTGTGCCAAACGATGCTGCTGGTTGTGTTTAGTACCTTGGCAGTCCGTGCTATCAAGTTTCCATTACCCATGCTCTGTTTGTTGGCAGGTCAGTACGGCTCCCTGGACGTCGAGCTGCAGGCGGCGCCGTCCGACGAGCACACGGACATGGTGGAGCCGTCGCTCACCATCCAGCTGGACATCCCGTTCGTGACGGCCGACAACCAGCACGATCCGGAGGTGCAGTTCTTCGCCGACATCTACCGCTTCCTGGTGGCCGGAGTGGCTGTGGACACCTCTGAGGCCAGCATGAAAAGCCTAAAGAAGAGGCTCAAAGAGTATTCAGTGAGTCTGTTATCATGGTTACTCGTTAACATGGTTTACTATACAGAGACATGCTCTATCCCAGTATTCGAAATTTTTAACTATGACGTGACGAATATATCACGGATGAGTGATGACATGCCGCGGACGCTGACGTTCACTCCCGGTCTCTCTTTTCCGCAGGTGATCGATGGGGAGCTGTACTACGGCAGCCGAAACCCGCGGCTGGTCGTGCTGGACAAACAGCGGCAGAACGAGATCATCGCCGCCACGCACATCGATCCCTCTACTGGTGAGGCTCGGCAGCTGCTCGACGGGGAGGCTACGTTACTGAATGCGCACCTTCACTCGACGTGCTCGTAGCTTCCAACGTTCCTGATTTTTAGCCGTGATAGTTGATGAGTCAGTCAGGCCGACAAATAGATTGAAAGAATATTTTCCTTGAGGAAAAAGAACTTGCCTGTATGTTCAATGTCATGCAACGGAAAATTCACGACGCTCATTTTCTCGCCTGCAGGTGTGCACCTGGGGGTGAAGCGCATGTACAGCGCCATTCGACACTACTGGCGCGGCGTGTACAACGACCTGACGCAGTACGTGCGCAAGTGCGCCGCCTGCTACGAGGGTGAGCGGCTGTCGCGGCCGCCGGGCCTCGACATCACCTCGCTGCCGGACCAGGCGGCCGCGGCCGAGCGGCTGCAGCGTACCGCCGCCGCCGCTGCCGCTGCGGCCCCCAAGGCGGAGCCGCCGACCCCCGCCGCGGCCCTGGAGCGGACCCGCGCGGAGGTCATGGCCGACAGGGCCACTCGCGTGTGGAAAAAGGTGAGAGGGCGCAGTTCGCATTGTCCAGCGACCGGTGTCGGCGGTTGTGCACTGATGAGATGCGTTGGTTCTTTTAGATGCAGTCTTCTTGTTTTTTTTTTTTGTCAATTCAAGTCTTCTCCAACTGCATTTTCGCAAACGCATTTCTGTTAATGTGCGCTGTGCAGTTAGTGCTGAGTGCTGTCTTGTGAAGAACTTGTTCAAGCATCACCGCTCCCCTTGTGACAGGTGGAGGCGCGTATCTACGGACCATACGTCCGCTCAGAGTCGGGCTGTGAGTACCTTCTCGGCCTGGTGGACCCCGTCTCGCGCTGGATCGAGGCGCTGCCCGTGCCGGCGGCCGACTGCTGCGCCCGGCTGGCCGACTTCATCTTCCGCACCTTCTGCACGCGCGGCTTCGCCCAGTGCGCGCTGGTCGGGGTGACGGAGCGACAGTTCGAGGAGTTGCACGACAGGTCAGTGCGGCAGAGCTCGCGGAGAGGTAGTGTGTTTTGGCTTGCTGGCTTAGTCGTGAAACTGGTGATCCATTTTCGATACCTATGCGACTTTTTTCCAGCGCTGTTGCGTGCCGCGATGTTGACTAAAATTTTCATATGCTTCCAGGTATAAGGGAAGGTTCGAACGGATGCAGGAGATCTTTCAGAAGCTGCAGCAGCCTGGCACGGAACAAAACTTTGTCTTCACGCTGCAGGAGGCATCGGCAGAGTGCTCGTGGGCCAGTAAGTACGAGGCCGAAATTTCCATGACTATGGCCGGAATTCCATGGCCGGAATGTCTATGATTTCCATCAAATTCTAAGTTCAACGGCTATCATATTGCCTTTTAGCTGGCTAGTTTTTACTTGACAGCTGCCAGTTGCGTCGCTGTGGGCCGGACTACATAATACATTTAACATTTCACCACGCTAAAAGCCTTTTTTATAGTGCTTTCTATGAATACCATGAATGTGTCTCATGACTCTGTAAATCATCCCCCCCCGTGGTCCACATTTCTCTGACGCATAACTGGTAACTTATTCAGAGCATTGTTGATCCCAATGCAACATTGAGCTGTACTGCCGATCGAGTTTAGAAGTTTACGAGTTTAGAATCTCTAACGTCTCCCCGTTGCGTTACGCAGCGGATATGATGGACAAGTTTGTGGACGAGCACGGCAGCCAGTGGGACGTGGAGCTGGACGCGTTCCTGTTCGGGTATCACGCCACGCCGCGCGCCGACTACGGCTTCTCGCCCTTCTACATCATGTACGCCCGACACTCCAACGGTATGTGGCTCGGCGTAGCTGGTGTAATACGACACTAAGCCGTACGGATACGTAGCTCGGTAAATGCTCGGCTCTTAGTTTTGAGATTTTGTCTACGGCGCCTGAACCGTAGAGTCGTTGAGCATTTCCATATAAAACGTATCGTTGTTATATCCGCGTTCGAGTGTAATCGCGGTTCTGCTCATATTTCGCGAATATCGCTAACGCCAGTCAGCTATCGTTTTACGTGTACGTCATTGCCGCCGCCCGAGTGTGCTGTTACGCCGTCCCCCTGTTACTCAATGGCGTAACCCCCCTGTAACGGTTACGCCGTTACTCAGTCCCGCCACACCCTCGCACACAAGTCCCCGGTGACTGACCTGTGGGTGTCCGTGCAGGCGCCATCTCTGAGGAGGACAAGGAGAACTGCACGATCCTGGAGGAGGAGAAGGCGCTGGAGGCTCCGGTGCGCGTTCGACGACGACTCCAGAGCAGCACACTGCAGGTAGGCGCTGCCGGAGGCAGGGGGATGGAGGGGTCGGTGGTTGCTGGGTAGGGGTTCACTAGAGGGAGGTTAGTTCGGTGTGGGGTACGGGATCAGTGACTCGACCTGGAAGGAGGGGGAGAGTCGTTCTTCTGCCAGGTTTGGGTTTCGCTGGAGGGTACAGGGTAGGTCTGGGACTACATAGTTGAATATGTTTTGATAGCAGTCGTTTCGCTTCGACCATTTTCCATTAAACTTTCCTTTTGTCAGACGAACATATAATCGCGCCATGAGGCCTGAACAGTCTAGTCTGACAGCTCTTCCGTTCTGTTCGTGTCGTTCCAGTGTCGCCACTGCAGCGAGATCTTCACGTCCAAGATCTCGTTCCGCATCCACCAGCGGAAACACACTGAGGAGGCCAAGAAACGCGGCGTGCTCGACGGCGAGCTGCCGCTGCGGCCCGTCGCCATCGAGAGAAAGCTCCTCAAGAGGGCCGTGAAGCGCAAACAGCGGCGCCCGATGCGGCCGGGCGGCACCAAGATCAGTCACCGGCAGCCGCGGCCCGGCTGGACGGCCGAGCCGCCGCCGGGGAACGAGGACGATCAGGAGCGACAGCAGCTGACCTCCAACACCGTGCATGCGGTCCGTGCGCTCATAGAGGCGACGAGAGAGGAGCGCTCGCGGAGAGGAAAGTATATCAAGTACAGCGAGGAGCTGCGGGATGAGATCGCCGAGTATGCGTTGAAGCACGGACAGCAGGAGGCGGCTCACTACTACTCACAGTGTCTTGGCGGACAGGTCAGCATTAGCTCCATCAGGAACTTCATCAAGGCGTACCGCGTGTTCACGCCTGAGGTGAAGGATGAAATCGGCAGGTTCGCCATAGAGTATGGTCCAGAGGAAGCGACGGCCTACTTCAGCAACAAGCTCGGCAAGGACCTGAAAGTGGGCGTTGTGAAGAAGTACATGAAGGCTAGTCGTGCTCGACTGCGGGACGGAGCGCCGTCTGCCGAGGAACCGGCGGAGAGCAAGCCGAAGCCGAAGCACACCTTCACCCCACAGCTGAAGGAGGAGATCGGACGGTACTCGCTACAGCACGGCATCGCCCAGGCGATCCAGGTGTACACCGGGAAACTGCAGTTTGCCATGAAGGAGAGCACGGTGCGCAAGTTCCGTAAGATGGTAATGGAGAGTGACGCCAAGCACGAAGAGGCTCTGAACGCGGCGGACGCGGAGACTGCCGGACAACAGCAGGCCGGGTACGCCGCCGCCGAGCCGGCCCCGCTCGAGATGCAGCTGCAACAGCAGGTGAACGTCATCAGCCAGCCGTGTAGCGTGGCCTCCGGCTACGTGTACAACACGTACACAATCCCGGTCAGTCAGGCGGCGGCCGCCGGGCAGACGTTCGCCTACCCGCCGGCCGGAGGCATCATCGTCAATCCGTACTCGCAGCCGCCGCCCAACTACCAGACCTTCTCGTGCGCGGGTCCTGCGCCGGCCGCCGCACCCTCCTACATCAGCAGTCCCATGCTGCCCGTCATCCAGCAGGCGCCTCCCGCATCCGTTCAGCAGCAGGCACTGCAGCAGCAGCCGCAGCAGGTGCAGGCGACCCCGTCACCGCAGCAGCAGCAGTACCTGCCGCAGATGATGGACCACTTGGAGATGCGGGCGGACGGCACGTACACGCGCCAGGACCCCCTGGAGATGGCCACCTCCGAGGCCAACATCCCAGGAGCGTACGGCGTGCCGGCCGCCCCCGGACAGCAGGTTCAGCTACAGCAGCAGGAGCAGGAGCATCACCAGCCGCAGGAGCAGCATCAGGAGCAGCAGCCGCCGCTGTCCAGGTCGTTACCGGACCCAGAGTTGGTGGCGCCGCATTCCGCTCTGCCGAGCCTGCCTCTGGTGCCCACCAAACTGGAGATGGAGGATGAGCTGTTCTCGGAGGATGACCAGGACGCAGAGCCGGAGCCCCGCAAAAAGCAGAGATCCCGGGCCGGACGCAAAAACCGCAGTCCAGGCTCGACCAGCGGAGATCGCAAGCGAGGCAACTACACCTCGTACAGTCCCGAGATACGAGCGGAGGTGGGCAAGTACGCCTTCGAGCACGGCAATCACGCGGCCATGGTGCACTTCCGCGAGCGGCTCGGCTGCGACCTTCCCGAGAGCACGATCCGCGGCCTCAAGGAGAAGTACGTCGTGAAGCTGCGCCGCACTGGCGACACCCCGGAGCGCGTGACTGCTCTGGGGTTCGCGCAGCGCGGCCGGCCGATCCGGCTGGGACGATATGACCGCGTGGTGCAGGACTGCATCCGTGAGCTGGTTACCCAGGGTGAGAAGGTGTCTAGTTTCCTGTGCATCGCCACCGCCAAACAGGTGTTGATGCAGTACGAGCCCGACCTGCTCGAGGAGCACGGCGGACCCATCAAACTGAACGCCACGTGGGCAAAGTCATTTCTGAAGAGGCTAGGGCTCAACCAGCACAACTCGTGAGCCATGTTGGGTGGTTCCTTTTGTGTTGGAGCTTTGAAACATGCCAGGGAAGTATGTGCCCTCATTGCATGCATTGCTATGTTCGTTGCCCCCATATTGGTTTTACCGCATCATTTATTACGACTTACGAGGAGTTTCGATTCATTTTCGGTACGTTATTTTACTGTGCATGGTTGTGTGCAACTCGTTTTCTATGTTGTTTTGCTCGATGATATGCTGTGCTAGATTCGTTATTTTCAGTACAAATGTTTTTCAGCGCTTCGCCATGAACAGAACAGTGATGCCATGTTCAGCCGCCATTGTTAGGTCCTTCCCTAACGCCGCAGTGTCGCTCGGTATGACCTGACCTTTGTGCCGACCGAGGGCGATAAGGGCTAGCCCCCGCGGCCATACTCCCCACGTTTGTGATCCTCGCCGCTGCCTTCGAGTGGCGCGGCCCGAGCTTGTGCGCAGTATGGTTTTCCTGACCTGAGTGTGTATGCTTGTGTGTCCACTGTGCCAGATGACGTATTTTCGTATGAATAAACCCATGGTGTTCGCCACTGTGTGGCAACCCATTCAATGTCATGGTGTTGAAAACAACTATGATGGAATGCTGACACAATATCATTACAGAAACAGGGCACAGTAACGAATAACGAATATCTATTTGCAAACGAAAGCATCAGGGTTTCAATAGAGATCAAAACCCCTTGTACTGCACATTTACATATAATAAGGCACGGAATCAGGCACTGAGCTACAATCAACCGCGGTAGTGTTCGCCCTCGCCCTCACACTCTGAATGAAGGACTGGGAATACCTGGTCCCTCTCCTGGCCGAGGTCCTCCTTGGCCGTCTGTTGCCGTCTGTACCTGGCCGTCTGTTGGGCGGTCCATGACCCCGCTCACAGTCTCCTACGAGGCCTGGGGCGGGGGGTGACGGCGCCGTACTGGGTGATATCCGTGGCAGGGAAGGCGACCGGGTCCCAGAACTCTGAAACAGAGAAGGCGCAGTGTTGAACGAAACTGGGAACGAAGAAGAAGATCAAAGCCAGCTCCGGTAAACGGTTATATGCTCTGACAAAACGAAGAGGATTCGTAAAAAAACATGATTGCCAAGGCGCACCTGTCACCCTACTTTCCGGGACCGACGGCGGCAGCTCCCGCTGCCTTGCCGCTGCCAGTGTCGGTTGTACCCGGTACCAGTACCGTACTCCGGTCAGGGTAGCGTAAAGGTAACGTCTGGTTCTCACCCGGCGGGTGGCGAGCGGTAGCTGCTCCCTTGTATCTACCCTCGGGGCAGTGTGTGGGCAGGGAGGGGAGTTGACGTCGGGTCCTTACCCGGCGGCGTATCGGGAGGGGCCTGGCCCTTACCCGGCGGCGTATCGGGAGGGACCTGACCCTGAATGGGTGCAGTGGTCTGGTCCTTACCTGGCGGCGTATCGGGCGGCGGCGGCTCCTGCTGTCTATGTCGGCTGCACCGGTTCATATGAGCCCGCAGCTCCTCGTCGGTCATGTTCCGGTCGGAGTACCACTGCAACACACAGCCAAGACGGGGTTACGTGTGACCCAGGGAACCCGAGCAGCACGCGGGACAAGTGGAATATTAGAAAACGTTTAGTTCCCGATTAATTTACCTCGGTGATACGCAGACATGGCGCTTCCCTCCAACAAATGATGAATGCGGACACCACAGACTCGTTTCATAAGCATGTGTAATGATTGAGCGGTAAACGTTTCTTCACAATGAAGAACCATGCTCTGCGTTCATTAACTACATGTGCACAGTCTCGTCGGCCGCCTCCCCACATCCAGCCCTGTATTTCAGCAGCCGCCGCGGGCACCCACCTCCTTGCAGACGGCACACGACCAGCCGGGTAGTCTCTGGCGGTCGGCCCGCCGGCGGACCGGACTGGCTGCGTACCGGCGAGCTGGGCCCGCCACCAGCTGCTCGTCGCCCAATATCATACTGACGGTCAGAGATTGAGAGATACAGTCAGTGACGTACACAGGTGGACTATTCCTGTTACAAACAATATTAGTGAATTGAACCTGGATGCTATTCATGTAAATTTGATTACAAAATCGAATTTTAATCAACCAAATAGCTAAGTCCTCTTCCGCCCTATCGAGTGTCAATATACAAGCCCTATCGAGTGTCCATATCGAGTGTCCTGTGATATTTCACAGGACTGTAACACATGTCCATCTATGTGTTACGCATGCGTTTCAGCCTCATCTGTCGAGCTGCGTCTCACCTGTCCATCTGTGTCTCCTCCTGGGAGTCATGTTCCGGCGGCTCGGCCGGCGGCGCCATAACCTCGTCTCCATCAGATCTACCGTCCCTCCCGACGGCAGCTCCTTCTCTCTCCGTCCGAGACTGTTCAGCGCCGCCCTCTGTTATAGCCTGAGCCCTATCATTGCCGTGCTGCTGGGCATGCACATCTGCCCCGTTATTAGTTCCTTGTTTGTCGCGGTTTAGCTCCTCCATCAGCACGTCCAGTCCCAAAGGCGTCTCGTCAGTCTGGGCAGACTCTGGCGCAGCTCCCCCAGCCCGCCGCTCCTCATTCAGACTCGGCGGAGTCGCCTTTCGTCTGGGAGACGTTCGTTTAGTTTTGTTCGAGGTGGAGGTTTCACCTGTCTTATTCGAATCGATTTCCAATTCAAATATCGAGGGAGCGGCTCTTTTAGTCGATGTTACCGTAGTGTGCGCTCCAGCAGGGGCCTTCGTTGGAGTCCTGGAGGCTGGTTGCTCCGAAACTCCTGTGCGGAAGTTTGAGCCAGATGAGCATCCTGCAGCAGTGCGCTCTTGGGGTGCTTTCTTCTGTGGAGACACCGACTGCTTACGTTTTCGTGGTGGCACTGGTTCCCCCGGACCAATGATGAGACGTTTCCTCTTATTCGGAGATCGAGAATGGGTTTGGCACGCCCCTTGGGACTGTGTGCGTCCCGACGACGCTGCTGGCTGGTCTCCCTCGCCATGACCTTTTCCCGCAGTGGGACGCACAGATGTCGCTGGAACTGCGCTGCCAGCCGGTTTTCCACCGTTTCTTTTCGGCAGCTCGGCAGGGGTCGGCTCGGTCGTCGGTGGACGTCGGGCTCTTCCCGGTGGGTGCTGAGGCAGCAGCAGAGGCGAACTCAGACTCGGTGTAGGACTAGCAACCTCTGCGCGTCTCTCGTTCTGCGGTGTCGCCACGTGTGTGCCCCTCGCCACCGCCGGAGCCGCTCCCTGCGACTGCCGCGGACTGGCGGTAGCTCCGGCGCGGCGGCGGGCCCGTCGAGTCGCCGGCGTTCGGGCGGTCAGCACGGGGCTCACCGGGTCTGTAGGCCGCACCGGCCGCGGTGGAGTGGCCGGCAGCTGCACCGTCTCGGCCACAGGGCACGGACGGTGGCCGCGCCGTCCCGGTGAGCTCTCGAGAGTCTCGGGTACCCAGACCACTGGCGGCGGCGGCGGCGGAAGAGCAGTCTCGGGCACCGGGTGGGTCGGAGGATCGCCGCGCGGGGCGCAGGGGATGTCAGCGGTCTCTGGAGCGAGCACCACGGGGCGGCTGGAGGAGCGGCTGGGAACACTCCTGCGAGAAGAGAAATCCGACTGCTAAGACCGATACACTGAGTAGATATTGAACGAAAACAGAGCACATTCATATTACAAAAAGACAAACAGCAAATACCTCCGTACCAATATAAGCAAAGTCCTCAAATGTTACAGCAAGCTGCATTGATTCTTTTGTTGGGAAACCGGAAAAGAGGTCGATGATTACGGTGAGGAAGTGCTCACGTTCTCACAATCATGACTTGGAAAAGAAAACAATAGAAAGAAAACTAGCACTCACCGTTTGGGCTGGTTGAAGTAGGCGACGTCGCCCGGACTGGGCGGGACCAGGTCATCGGGACTGGACGGCCCGAATTCCTCAGCGCTGGCAGGCGGAGCGCTGGCAGCGCCGCCTGCCGGCCTGGCGGGGGTGGTGTGGTGTCCACTGCCGACGGTAGGTGGCACGGAGCCACCGGCGCGGCTAGCTGTAGAGACGCTAGGCTGCTTTTCGCAGCGGAGTTGATGTCTGTCCTGCAGTATGCCTGAAACGAAGTCAAATACTTTTTCAGCTTCAACGTAAAGAACTCAATTTCACTTTATTCTTGAAGTCAAAATATTGAATGTGGAAGAAAGCAGATTGAGAACGGATCGGCTCAGTGACTATACAATAGAGAAAACAGACTCACGCCGCAGAATTCATTTTACAGAATTCGTCCAGATCAAATCAACGTTGGCATCATTAACGAAGAATCACACTCACGAAGACCGACGCGCCGTGCCTACCTTGGAAGAGGACGTAGAGCGTCTTGATGAGCATGGTGGCGGCGCGGTCGTCGGGGTCGCTGATGTTCAGGAGTGCGGCAGGGTCGGGGAAGGACGGCATCAGGTCCGACCAGACCTGCCGCAGCTGGAGCTCGGCCATCTGACACGCCGGTAGGGCGCTGACCGGTTAGAGGGGTAGATTCAACGGGTTTAGCGGTTAGACACGCTTGGTGTAGGTGACAGTCCTTGCCTCTAAAAAAAAAAAAAAAATGTTGTTCTGAAGAATTTATATATGTATATAGTTGAAGGTCAGTGGCGGTGTGTTTGTGCATTAGCATCGACATTTTAAAAACAAGAGAACATCTAATCAAAGTTAGTTAAGTTAAAACGTCATTAGACATTTAAGACGTCTAAATTTACATGATTGTATTCAGTGACGTCAAAAACGTCATTTCTGGTAAACACGCATCTCAAATACTTTGGCTGTCACTATTGATAGGTAATGTTGAGACAAAATTTGTTCTTTGATTCCCCGAGTCTCTGCCTCAAAAGATGTTGCATAGATACGGTAGAGTTTATTTCCTTAGCACATAAAGGGCAAAGTTCACAAAGGTTCTACGAATTTCATCAACCAACGAACAAAATGGAGCAAACTGCGAACAAACCACTCGAACCAGAAATGCATCATACTAAAACACGAAATAAAATCGGACACTAGTAAAACAGAAGGAGCACCTTTCACATGACACGACCAGGGGAGCCGGAAAAAGAACAAGCACCAAAACACTAATGGTCATCAAAGCACAATTTCTTAAATCGCTTTCAAAATGACAAATAATAGGTAGCGCACACATTTGTACCATAACAGTCCGTATTTTCCGTCCTTGGGTTCGAAAATACACTCATTCTCCAGATGCGTGCCCCGCTTTACGAAGGTTCGCCATGCGAAGCAGCAATAGATGCTCATAGCTCAGCTATGCTGGATATTTTCACATTGGTCACCATGCAACGTTGGCTATGTAAGAAGCAGTTGGTAGCAGTTGTTACACCGTAACACATCACCTAGGCTAGTTTCGTCCACGTGCGCCGGTTTTAGCACTATGCCGTCGCTGGTGAGATCGCCACTTATTTCATGCTCGGTCTGTCAGTCCACAATCACTAAAAGGTATCTCGCATGTCCAGCACGAAAAATGTTCCCTGCGTCAGAAGACTCTCTGAGGCGGGATATTTGTCTCGATACACGTGGGAAGTGGTCCGCCATTTGACCACTACGACTCCAGTGTCACTCCCTCATGCTCACACCACCTCTGTCCGAAGCGTTTTCAGCCCGCGAGCTCCATCGCCACTTCCTCGACTTCTGCAGCCCAGTCGAAGGCCTCCTCGCCATCTTCCTTCTCTGCCGCTGCGGCGTCCGGGTCACCTTGTCCCATCTGCTCAGCCTCACTGCCTTCGGCCGCCGCCCCGGTCTCCGCGGCAGCCTCTGCTCCGTGCTCCCCTGCTGCCTCCGGCGCCGACCCCGTCTCGGCCGGGTCGGACACCACAGAGGATGTGTCCGACGCCGACTCCTGTCCGCGCAGCTCGGCCAGCTTGGCCGGGTCGTTCCAGTAGTGCAGGTGGACGCGCCAGCACCGGACCGCGTTATCCCAGCGGCGGCGGCTCTGTACGCGGCGTTTGACCGGTGTGCGCGGATGGTAGCCCAGCCGCTGCGCGCGCGGTACGGCTGCCGTGTACTGCTGGTAGGCCAGCGTGTTCTTTCCGTACTCGATCTGCTTCTGACGGCGGGCTAGAATCACGGGGTCGTCCTCGACGACAAACTGAGGGGTTCGCACCGGCCGGGAGCCCTTGCGCGGCGAGCGGCGGACTGCGCCGGCCGGAGACACACCCGGAGACACAAGAGGAGAAGCAGTTGAAGAGGGAGACGCACCCGGGGAGGGCATTGGGTGCTCCCTGTTTGGCCAGGACGAGACTGACGAATCGCGATGGCGCCGCTCGGGGGTATGTGGGTGGACCATGGCAGAGCTGAATACTGGTAGACTGCTGAGATGTAACAAAGACTGTAACAGATTTCAGAATGTATTCAGAAAACTTTGCACAGTTAATACAGCTACAAAACAACAGATGACATAGGTATAATAAAAAAATCATTACAGCAATCAACAAGGCCTTCAATAGCCACATCATGGTACATGCATGATATAATTATTATTAGTTCATAAAATTGGTCTAATTGGTAAAATGCTGCAGGCCAAAAACACACTAACATTTAAGTTTTGACTGTTTGTCATCACTTAAATCACAATAAACTGCCAGAATATGACATTTCCAATTTCAGTGTCAGAAAATGACACAGCTTTGAACAGAAGGTAGTAGGTACCCACTTCCCATAGTGTGTAATATAAACAGTATTTATCGACTTGGCATGAACTCTTTGATTCTGAGTAATTCTGATTACTCAGAATTCTGATTTGGGTTTCAATTTCAGAAAGGATGGTGGATGGAGTAGAGAAATCAATCAACTTTACCAGCCAGTGACTTCCCCCCCCCCCCTCAACCCAAGAAAAAAGCTTTATGGAATAGAATAGGTAAAATTATGAAAGGGCTAGCTCACCATTGCACAACAATCAAGCAACCAGGGCATTGTCAACTGCCACCATAGCTTTCCTCTGCATTGACATATGGGGCCTGTTCCAGCGCCTCCAGAAACCTCCAGAAAGCTCCAGAGAGCTCTAGAATCCTCCAGAGAGCGTTCCAGCGCCTCCAGAAAGCTCCAGAAAGCTCTCGCCAAAGTTCCAGAAACCTCCAGTAGCCTCCAGAGTTGGGAGGTCCAAATTTCTCTGGAGGCTCTGGTCTACAATGATGGCGCACATGTGACAATCACGAATGTAAGCAAAGGACTTTTGACTGATTATTTTACAACTTGATTGTAAAGAAAATTACATTGCTATGATTTTGTTAATCTTCATTATTAAAATTGAAAACAAATTTTGTGTTACAAGAAGAGAGAACAATCGTCATTCTTTTGGTATCTGTGATGCCAATCTCCAGAAATCTCCAGATTGCGTTCCAGCGCCTCCAGTGAAACCTCTGGTAGAGCCTCCAGTCAAGAATTTCTACTGGAGGCGCTGGAACAGGCCGAAGATGGACAGATCATTGTCAATGTCGAGGGCATTACAATGAAATATGAAATGGCCTGCCTTCTCCATAGTTCCTAGAATTGATGAAAATTGGTTGCTTACAAAGTGATGTGAACGTGTAATTATACTTCAAAATTTGTTTTAGGTTGTGCAGCAGTATGTAATGCAGAAGAATCAAACTTTTTTAAGTTTGAGTTGGTAAGTGTCATGCCTCAGCGCAGACACTGGTGACTGGACAGCAGCAATGGGTGGTATCTATCAATTGATGCCTACCATCTCAACCACACAAATACAGCATCATCATGGCATCAAACTTAATTCAAATATGATGGGAAATGACACTCAATAACAAAAGTACTGAAAAAAAAATACCCAAATGAGGCACTAGAGCACGATTGCACGATTCCCTATCGTTCCTGTCGCTCTCGCTTGTTCCGCTGTATCTCGCATGTTGGAAACAGACCGGCCAGCACTCTGATCAATTACAATTCATAGTTTTATCAATGTGTCAACTTACTTAATTCGCCTAAAAATTGAAAAAGTAATGCGGGAAACGCCAAGGGAGAGATTTGTTTTAGCGCGATCAAAAATACAAAATACGCGTCACATTCGCCTTCTCTCTGAAACAACAAATTTCCCGCGAATTTCAGCGTAATTTTGCTGCAGTTTCAGAATTTACGCCACTAAAACACTGCACTTCGTGTTACCGTTTCATTATTATTTCCGAGGGCCAGTACAGGGTCCGAATCGCAGCAATGATTAATCACAACTCCATAGGGTTTCGAAAAATTATTCCAATCTGGTATTCTTATTCCTTGGACAAACGTTCGCTTTGCCGTTTTTGTTATTCGAAAACATGAATGGAGAGACCAGAGGCGAAGGGAGCATTATCAACAGTTGCACACCCCAGTCAGGTTATACCTAAGCATCTTATTTTCCTCCAGTGTCGGACGCACTGATGCATGAATTTCATATGCACAATCATGGGTGTCGATTTGTATACCTTTGGGGGTGCTGCAGCACCCCCAATGCTCAAATGAGCACCCCCAATGGTTTTCCGGGCACCCCCAATGATTTTGTCCCTCAATAACTCCCACTAACTCTGCTTGAGGAAAATAATTGTTCTGCAGTCTTTCACTAATAAAAATAAAACAATTACGCAATTTACAAAGCATGAAATAAAGATGTAAAGCCAGAAAAGTTAGTTTTAAGAAGAAGAGCGAAAAAAGACGTTAAGCTGTAAAGACACTGGTGTGGGTCCGTCGTACACGGGTGTCGGACCCTTAGAGCTGCTGGCGCGTACCCTTTACAAGCCAGCAGGGGGCTCCAGAGACCGGCGACGGGCCCTCAGAGGCCGGCTAAGGGCCATCAGAGGCCGGTGGTACCTTCAGAAACCCTGTGGGGTCGTCTTTAGAGACCGGAACGGACTTAGACGCCGATGGAGCCCTCAGTCGCCGGTGTGGGGCCTTCAAATGTCACCGGTGGCAGGGTGGCCGTCACATGCGCACTTGTGGGGCCTTCAGAAGCTACGATGTTGGGCCCTCAGAGCCACCGATATAGGGCCTTAAGAGGCACTAGTGTGGGACCCTCAGATATGGCAATGTGGGGCCCTCGGACTGGAGGCGCCGGTGTGGGGGCTTCACAGTCGCCGGTGACGGCCCTCACAGGCGCCGTTGTGGGGGCTCTCAGAGACACTGGTTTAGGGCCATCACAGGCGCGCGTGGGGCCCTCAGAACTGCTGTTACGGAACGGACCCTTCATAGGCCGACAAGAAGATATCAAGAGGTCACCGGTGCCTTCAGGAGCCTTGTGTGGTTCTCAGAGACTGGCATGGTGCGCTCAGACGCCGCTGGGATCCTCCGAGTCACCTGTGTAGGGCCGTCAGGGTCGCTGGTAACTGACAAGGGCCCTCAGAACCGCCCATGTAGGGTTTTTAAAGGCATTGGTGTAGGGCCTCAGAGTTAGGGGTGTGGGGCCCTCAGAGACGCCGGTGTGGCGCTCAGGGGTGCCGGTGAGGGCCCTCACAGTCGCCGTTATAGGGGCCCTCAGAGAAATGGGTGTGGGGCCATTACAGGCGGGTGTGCAGCTCCTAGAGCTGGCCCCCTATAGGCCGGTTAAGACCCCCAGAGGCCGGCAAGTGGCCCTCAGAGGCTGGCTTGGGCCCTTATGGAGATCTTAATGTTGGTACTTGTGGGCCCATGAGGTGTTCTTACGAGCCCTGTGGGGCCCTTCTGAGTCCAAATATAGCCAACCTGGACCCTCAGCGGCCAATTGGCGCCGCAGTGCCCCTCAGGCCCGAATAACCCGATGGGCCCCTGAACCTAATGGGGGGGGGGGGGGCATGTGCCTCACGGGCCCACCTGGCTACGCCACTGAGGAAAATCGTAAACCCATAAATATCGAAATGCGATCACCTGTCATTTTTTTCAACGATTATTGCGATCGTCTGATTAACGCCAGAGCCTCGTAGCTATACCGTTGCCTCCCGCGCAATGTCCGCCCCTGTGGACCGCAGGGGCTGCTGCACCGGTGCTAATCGCGATCACCGGTTTGTCACCTTATTACAGAGGTGCCGGTGCTGCTGCCGAGCTGCCGGCAAATGTACGCGTTTTTTCGGAAAGATGTTTATGTAATGAGGTAGCCAAGTACTAGGACGAGCAGAATGATTTTGAAGAACGTTCAAACTTTGGGAAATATTAGTGGAAATCCCGGGATTATCAGTACCTTATGGGGATACCCAACCATGCCTTGTACGGTTGTGCCCATGGCAAAGCTGCAATCTTTCACCCGGTGCAGGGGTTGAGCACCCCCAACCATTTTGAGAAATCGACACCCCTGTGCACAATGCATACAAAGAGTGACGGGTTTTTGTTTCGAGGGACCTCACTCCCCTCCGCCGGGCGACCGGCGCCGACGTTCAAGCGCCTCCGTCTGACAGCCGCTAAACTGGAGACCCCGTGGGCCACGGGATCTCCATTCGTGGCTGCGCTCTGTCTTACCGAGCCGCCCTGACGCACCATGTCCGACAGAAACCCTGTCTGACAGTCACCACTCACTGTGGCCACCATTTCCGACAGTCGCCCCGCCCTGGCCACCCGATCCGACAGCCAACAGCTTCCCTCGACGCTCTGACCGTCAGCATGCCTGGCCGAAAGTCGTCTTGATCGACAGCCACATCGCCCTGGCCGACAGCAGTTCTGTCCGACAGTCGCCCTCCCCCACCTGCTCTAACCAACAGCCGCCGCCATAGACCGATAAACGTCTCTGTTCGAGCGACAGTCGTCCTGCCCGTCAGCCACTCTCGGCTCTGTTGAGTCTGTCCGACTGAGCCGTTCTGTCCGACAGCTCCACTCTGACCAACAGCCGCCCTGCCCGACACGACAGTCGCCCTCCCTCCCCGCTCTGACCAACAGCCGCCGGCCGCCATGGGCATCTCTGTCAGCGACAGTATCCATGGAGGCCGGTGGCGAGGCCGACCACCTGAGCCGCGGTAGAATGGACAGGTGAGTAGCGAATCGGCCGACCGACCGGCCCCTCCCGCCTGCTCAGTCGGCCCAGCTGTCCGGCCGCGGGTGGTACCGGGACTCGGAGCCTGTTCTGAAAACAGCGGACCTGTTTCTTCGACAGCAGAAGATCGGAGGATCGGGAAACCGGAAAGGACCGCGGCGAGGTGTCTAAAGGAACCCGGTGAGTAACCGGTGATGGGATGAGAGGTGTCCGGATGAAAACCGCGGATAGAGATGAGGGAATAAAACCGGGGATAGAAGGTGCCGAGGCCGGTTGGTAGCTGAGAAAGTGAAGAAGTCTGATTGTGGCCTGTGGGCACCCATCTACCCGGGTTCACGTCCCAACAGCACCGAGCACGAGTAACATGAGCGAATGTATGTTCTAAAAAGGAGAAATCAGTTTTCGTTGGTCATTTCTACTGCTAGACTAAGTTATTCAAAGGTATAAATTTATGGACAACTGTCTGACATGTGTAAACGTGATTACTTGCTATTCTACTGTTGACAACGGCAACGCTTTCTAATTGTTTTTGCGGACGTAGGTAGTAGGTATGTAAACGCCCGTTTGGCGTTTAGTTAATAGCTACATATGTATGTCAGTGACATAGCCAAGTTTTAGCACTGCCGGCTGAGGAATATATTTAATGCAGGCAAATAACGAACATTCTTTTAGAAAGTAAATAAAAAGTCGGACCGCGTCATTTACTCATACCTATATCCAGCCTCTTTCAGCTCATGACCTATCCAATGGCAGTTCAGAGCGGTGGGCACAAGTGGCGGCTTTGTTTTGGCAGTTGTTTGCTCCCCTGTAATCGTGGCTCAGGTGCCACTCCCACGGGTGGAGAATGTTTGAAAAAGTTACCCCGGCCGGCGACCGAAAGTCAGAAAGACAATGATGCTCAAATATTTGTCAACGGTTATCAACAAACCCCTATTCTGTGGCATAGAATGATGGATGTCTGCCGCTTGTACGTTTTTAGGGAAAACTGCTGCACGCAGGTGCGGAAGATTTCGTAATTGTAACAACAATTTTGCAACACGACTTAAAATTTCGGACGCATGTCACCTAGTGCTATAGGTCAGGTCATCAGGTCAAATTTGCTGGATGACCGTGCTAAAAATGCAATCATGCCCTTTGCAAAACTTATTCCGTGGAAGTTGCAATCTTTCCCACACAAAACAAAATGTCAAATTTGACCGTTTTGACCCTCTTGGCTCTTATTGAACATTGATTTGAGCTCGCACCTGAAATATTATTCGCGACCGAGGCTTCAACGAGTAATCGAATGTTTTGTTTGCAGTGTTTTACCCGCGCCCTGCTGGGGGGGGGGGTGTTTGAACACCCCCCCCCCTTGTGGTTTTTCGCGAATATCTAAAAAAAACGGCGGCGCGGAGCGCCGCCGTTTTTGGTACACCTTATCATACATCAATTCTACACATGTTGTGAAAATGTCAGACCAAGGTCATTCAAGGTCAGGTCACCAGGTCACTTGAAGTGACCTCACCTCATAAAAAGTTTCAATGTCTGTCATAGCTACACCGAGTGACCAATCGCTTTGAAACTTTTAGCGATTGTCAAGAGCAATAGCATGTACAAAATGTATATCTCAGAATTTCGATATCGATGACCTAAGGTCAGGTCAATTTTGCGACCTCCCCATTATAAGTCAATGGGAGAAAATTGAAATGCGCCTCTTTTGGACAAAAGACATTATAAACAATCCCAAACACCGAATTACAAGTGGTTTAGATATACTGAACATGAAAATGGTGTCCGTGACTCTTGTTTATGCCCTGAGGTCATCTTAGGTCATGAATGGTATCTAACAGTTTTTCGCAAATAACTTTTGATAGAGGCATGCTAGAGCGATGAAAACGCCTTAGATGTGTTCAGCTCGACGATACGGATCGACTGATATGCAACATGAGCCTTGCCGGTCAGGTCATGACCTTGACCTGAGGTCAAATTTTCAAGTTGACCTTGCAAGGTCAAGTTATAGTTCATTCGATGCGTCTTGACAAGAGGAACACGATGCCGGTAAAAGTAAGCTCGTACAGGGCTTGGGTCAAAAGTTATTGCAGAAAAACTGTTTCCGAAAAAATCGGCTATTTTTGCAGTTTTTGCCCCCTGCAGGCAAAACCGTTGACGTTAGGTCAAATCTGAGAGAATTACTCAGAAAGGGCGTTAATAGGGCTATCGAATGCGCGCGCTTTTC